TAAAAAGAAAGTAACTCAGGTAAATCAGTGAGATGATTTGTTTTGCTTCATATTCAATACCTGAAAAAAGAGAGATGTTATTAGTGCAGACAATGCTCACGAGGAGCAGGCAAAGGCATCCATCTTAAGTGGTGTAGGAAAATGATATAAAAAGAAAGTAACTCAGGTAAATCAGGGGTATCAGTGAGATGACAGTAAGCCTATCTAAACCATCTTTCAGGGCTACTAGGTTCAGAGAGAATCCTGCACTGCAACAACAATTGCCTTAATGTGTGTTGGCAGTGAAGAGTCAACCAAGCAGGGAGTGACAGAGAAGCCCTATCAGGACAAACTTACCATGAGCAGAGAAGTGAATTCCAGCCTCTCTCCACCCATGTTTATTCAAAGAGCCAATATGAGAAGTTTCACTGGAAATCTCTGTTTAAAACCTCTCTATCTACATCTCTGGAGTAGCAGTGACTTCAGACTGGGAAAGGACAGTCCCTGGCATGGATTGGGGGTGTAAAGACATTAGCCAAATTATTTGTTTGGGTTAATTCAAGTTGTCTCAACTTGAGAAGGTATGTCCTTGAGGCTAGAGAATGGGATGCTGATTTGACACTATTCAGAAGAGGAGGAGTTAGGAGCAAATGTGTTGGTGATTTACTGGTCATTGCTGCTCTTTCTGCAATAATATTGTTCAACTGCTCTTTGTGTAGTTTTATATTCCCCCCCCCACCTTTTTAATTCTTTCCTTGTTGGCCGATTGAATTGATTGCCGAATAGCACCTCAGGCAAATGAGAAACAGAGTACAGTATAAATATTTTAAATAAAAGAAGTAGATGAAATGAAAACACAGCCAAACATCTATGGGTTTTTATTCTTGAGTATAAACACACATTTGTTGTTGGGATTAAGTACCCTGAAGAGACAAGAGGATCACCCATATTATTGCCAGGTGCATGGGGGGAAATGATGAGTTTTGCAGCTAGGGATTTGGTGAGGATTTTGTTTTGTCGTTGTGAAGATTTCCTCATTGGTGTTATGGCAACAACAGGATTCGTCCTTCCAAGCTAATAGCTTTGGTGCTTCAGAGCAGGAATGATTTGCGTTTTCAGCAATCTGGGTCCCCTAACAAAGAGAGATTTCAAGACTCCCCAAGCCTTGCAATATCACTCACCTCTGATATGAGACTACAAGGCTCATAGAGCCTTTATTTCTCAGCATAGTATTTGCAGTTCACACACAGGGGGGCATTCAAATTCACTTTGCATGCACCCACACAGCAAGCACTGAAAGTGCGCACATGTGCTGGCACACACACGCGCACACACACACACACACACACACACACACGTGCGTGCACACACACACGCACACACAAGAAAAGAAGCCATGAGTTTTATTTTTGAAAGAGGACAACAGGGTGAGAGAGGAAGAGAATAGGAGGTGTTTGCAGGATTGATTACAGTTATCCTGGCCATTCATCCTGCCCATCGCCTCATCATCTAAACCTTCAAAGCCATGGGGCATCTCTTCCTCCAGATGAAGGAAGCATAATGGCAGGTATGGAGGAGACCATTAATTCAAGAAAAGGGAAGATTAGGAGGCGAGGAAGGAAACTCTTTCCTTCAGTGCTACCACTATAACCCCCCCACCCCCCACCTCCATCTCAGCAAGGCTTTACGCATAATTGCAGCCTCTTCCAAATGGCAGCTGACTCACTTTTAATTGGAAGGGTGAAGAAGATTCATGAGCTAAGACACCACAGGCAGCATAGCCACACATTTTCAAAACCGTACATCTTGGTGGCTCTGGTTTTCTCTGTCCTCCACGAGGTTTCCAAGACTTCAGAATACTGCCACTTCGTGCAAATGAGGGAGGTCAAACAAGAGGGGCTTCAAACCTGCTTTTAAAATTATATACTTTTTTTTTATTACAGTTGCTTTTCATTCATTTTGTTTGTTTATTTAGGCAGATGGATTCACTTTGAAGCTCTTAAGAACTGTGAGAACCTTCTTGAAACAGTCTAAATAGGCACAGTGGTTCAAGACCACCAACGTATTATGGGGTGGGGGAATGGGAATCAAATAGGGGTAGAAAAAAGAATCAGCTTGTGGATGTTACATAAAATATGCCTCTTTAGACTCAAAATAATGCAAGGATTCTTGCCCTTTTATCGGTGAAGGGGGAAAAAAAGGATTGTTCCTCATCCTTTAACATGAGGATGACACGCCCATGGATTCATTATCCCTACTTATAAGACTAGCTTTCTATTGTGTTTTTAACCATGTTTATTTTATTTTTATTTATTTATTAGGTTTATATACCGCCCATCTAGAACGGGTCTACTCTGTTCGCGGATTACTGTGAACAGATGCTACATCCATTAATCCAATTTTTAAAAAATCCCCTCTCACACTGTGAGACATTCACATCTGCACATATGTCATCACACAACCTGATGCAAAAAATTCGTTACAGCAGTAAGTACTGGCTTAGGATGAAACACACTGGATGTCACTATAATGAAACATCATTTACCACAATACTGTGTGGTATAATGTGTCCTTAATCCAGCATTTTAAGCAGGTGCATAAGCCCAGCTTTCAATAGTTGGTTGAAGTTTTAAAAACATGCACTGATAACACTATGTAATACCACCGACATTAAAAAAAAAAGATTCAAATTCAGACAGGCACAGTGAAGCATTTAGTAGCCATGATCAGGATACAGTAAGTAATGAATGTGAGAAAAGCCGCTGCCGACAAGGTATACAGCCTAATCTCACAGCTCTGCTGTGTTTGCTGAAGAGATGGTGGAACTTATTTTTCTTGGTCTTCAACTCCACAAATACCCCTGCCATTGTGGGCATATATATATAATTCAGCCACTATGTACCACACGCTTCCTTCTGCCATGACTGTTCAGCATGAACCTTCTGAATGGAAGCGGCAGTTCTCCAAGGCTCCGGGTCCAGTCCTAGTCTCCCCCATCCTAGGACCCTATAACCAGAATGCTGCATTTTAACCAGGAGCCTTGCACTTTGAACCATGTGCCCTGTCCCTGAGCTATCAAGCTCCTGAACCTCAATATTGCTGCAATTTCCATGCAATCAAAAGAAATGTAGGACACTGGGTTAATGTACACTGAGGTGGGCACCCTCCAGAACAACAGAGGCCACATGCATCCATTCCTGAGCCCTGGAGAGCCACTCTTGCTCCTTTGACCCACCCCACCCTGATGTTCAACCTTGACTGCAGGGTTACTAGTTAAGTGCTAATGTAGTTGTTAATGCACTGTTCAGGAAGTTTCATGAGTCCTGTATTTAGCTACAGTGTCTAAGGGCCAGGGTGTGGACTCACCTCCCTCTATTACCATCTCCACACAAGAATTGGAGGGTGTTCATGATTTTGTGTACCTTGGCTCAACAATCTCTGACACTCTCTCCCTAGATGTCGAGCTGGATAAACACATTGGCAAAGCAGCTACCATGTTCTTTAGACTCACAGAGAGTATGGCTGAATAAGAAGCTGACAGCATACACCAAGATTCAGGTCTATAGAGTCTGTGTCCTGAGCACACTCCTGTACTGCAGAGAGTCC